ATTATATAACTTTCAAACTTTTTATAAAATGTTATAGACTATTTTCTACATATGCCTATGTAACCCCCATTTAGATCAACATATACATCATTTCTAGTCTATCATCCCCTCCTAATAGGTTTCCTTGTCCTAGTTAAAGGCACCCCTAACCAACAGGGCCTGATGGTGCATGCCCATAATACCAGCACCTGGGAAGTAGCAGGAAATCTCTGTGTCCTTAAAATCCCAGTGGAAGTAACCACTTCTATTAGACACACTGCAACTTCTGCTACAATGACATTTGCCTGTTCTTGAACTTTGCATAAACAGGATAATGTACTACACATTGTTGTGTCTCTAGCTTCTTTCACCCAACACTTTTTTAAGGATTCTTTCCAGGTTGTGTGAATGAATCATTTCTTCTCTTCATTCTTGTCAAGTAGTCCATTATTGGGAGGTAGTAAGTTTGTTTCTGTTTTTTTGACTTGGGAGATAAGGTTGGAATGGGGATCTTGTTACCATTAATATGCTGGTCCTGAGCCCCTGGGCTCAAATCAATGCTTCTGCCTTAGCCTCCCAAACAGTTGGGACAACAGATATATACAATCACAGCCAGCTAGAAGCAATTTTTAAATATGTATTATTATAAGTAGCTACCCATACAGATTTATAGTGTATCATCCCTCATAAAGGTACATTAATATTATAAAGAATATTGGTACAGGGGCTGGAGAGATGGCTCAGCAGTTAAGAACACAGACTGCTCTTGCAGAAGACTGAGGTTCGAATCCCAGCACCTGCATGGCAGCTAATAACTGTAACTCCAGTTCCAGGGAATCTGACAGCCTCTTCAGTCCTCTGTGGGCATTGCATGACACGGGTGCACTTACCGACAAGCAGGCATAACACTCATACACATAAAAATAAAAATAAAATATATTTTTAAAAAAGAATATTGGTACAAATAATTACTCAGAGCAATACTTTCATAACTTTTTCTTTAAATATTTTTTTCATTTTATAGTGCTGGTGACATTGTATAGGGCCTTGAGCATACTAGGCAAGTACTCTAAGTTCCTAAATATTTTCTTCAATTAAGGTAATTACTGGAGTGGGGGTGTGCATTGGGGGAGTAGTTCAGTGGTGTAGCATTCCTCTGGCATGCTTGAGACCCTAGGTTCAATCCCCAGCACTCACTTCCACCTCCACACGAAGTAATTTTGGAATAGATAATAGATGATTGTACAAAACTCAGAAAAAAACAGAGAAGCAGTAAAAAGGCCTGTCCTGTCCTGTCCTGCTCATGCCCACCATGTGCTCATGAACAAGCAGCACTTAATACGTGATTGCATAAAACCCAGAAAAAAACAGAGAAGCAGTGAAAAGGAAGCGTCCTGTTCTGTCCTGTCCCATCCTGTCCTGTCCCGTCCCCAACTGGTCTCCTCCTTTCCTGTCCTTGCTTATCACCCACTCACAGACAAGCAGCACTTGTGGGCAGTGGGTACTTCTCCAGAGACTCTTACTATTCACAGGTATCTACATCTCCTACCCTTCCTTTTCCTCTTCATATAAACCATACTATATAATATGCACTCTCCTACATTTTGCTTTTTTTTTTAACTTATAAAGAAATAATATTCGTACACATTTCTGAACATATTTTTTCCACATCTGAATTAACCACCTAACTAAAAGTCTTTAAATTAAACAGAATACATACTTTTAGAAGCAGACAAGCCATCCCATCCACCCTCTTTGCTTTACAGAGAAAACACAAGCTGCTAGGGAATAAGGCGATTTTCACAAGCCCTTGGAACAAAGTAGAGCAGCACTTTCTCACTACGTAGACACTTTGACGAAAAGAATACCTGAGGACGAGGACTGTGAAGAATGCAGGTTCTGAACTGGGTGGACCTGTATGTCATGTAAACAACCAGAAACTCTCCTGTTCTTCATTAAACTTCTACTCCTAAAAAAAGGATAAACCATAAGATTAGTAGAATACTGTTAACAACAATATTGTTAAGAATGTTGCCAATGTGGTGACACACAGTTATAGTCCCAGCACTTAGAAGGCTGTCACAAGAGGATAGAAAGTTTGAGGCCAGTATGGGCTATATAATGAGACCCTGTCTCAGAAAAAAAAAAAAAATATTGTCTTAAATACTCTAAAATAGACATGTATGTGTATTCTTTCCATCAAGGACTAATTCATTTCGATTACTGAGCACAAATTTTCCTGAGTACAGGCACTGACCTAACATACAGTTCATGAAATGGATCAATATTTAGTGTGCACTATCATTTGGGCTCTGAATACTGCAGTGAAACAAGGCAAACAAGACATCTGACTTCACTGGGTTTAAATACCAAAGCAAAAGAGAGCATCCAGGCAAACAGCAAGTGTCACGAGGGCAGAGTGCTGCAACAGACCCTAGAGAACCAAGCCTGGCCATGGAGAAGAGAAGGTCTCATTGAACAGTGAGACTGAAGGATGATCACCGGTTAGCCAAGCAGAGGCAGGCTTGGGAATAGTGTCTGAGAAACAGGCACAGGACACAGGAAGATGATAAAGTATCGCACATGCAAAGAACCAAATGAGGTGCTGAAAGACTGCAGTCTGATGTGTGAGGGAGAGGGTAAGGGAGGAGGCTAGAAGAAGGGTAGGGGTCAGCTTGAAGTTGATTCTGTAAGCAGCTAAAAACTCTTGGAATTTATTCTGAGGAAATTATCCAGGGAAGGATTTTATTTTTTTAATATTCTATTTATTATTTTTATTTTATGTGTATGAGTGTATTGCTTGCATGTATATAAGTGCACCGTGTTGTGCAATGCCTCCAAGGTCAGAAGAGGGCAACTGATTCCCCTGGAACTGGAGTTAAGGAAGGTTCATAGCCACCATGTGGATGCTAGGAATTGAACCCAGGTCCTCTGAAAGAGCAGTCAGTGTTCTTAACTGCTGAGCCATCTCTCCAGCCCCCCAGGGAAGGATTTTAAACAGGGAAATGATCTAGGGAAAAGATCATCTAAGCAGAAATACAACTCAGTGTGCAAAACAGATCTGGGAAGGGTCGGTCAGAAGTAGCCCATATGGAGGAAATGACTCCACCTCCAATTGCTCCTTTCACACAGCCATTTCCTTCAGCTTATGAAACACAAAGTCTCTCCCTTGAATAAATGGTTATTGGTGTGGCTACTGTAAAAAGTAACTTATTTGTAAGTGGCATTCATCTATTAGTTTTCTAAACTCCAAATCTATCTCATTATGAGAATGAAACTACTTGATCAGTGATCCAGATCTAAATACAGTGATCCTTTGGTATCTTTCCCAACAAAACTTCTACTACTGTTGACTCATCAAAAGAAAAATATTATTTGTTGACAAGATTGTTAAACAAAAGCATTCTATCAGTAGAAACTTAAATGTTTCAAATATAAATCCCCCTCATGAATTTACAAAACATAAGCAAAATCACAGATATATGACTGATAAGGAGGAAATATCAATTCTCAAGTAATATAGCTTTTCTACTGAGTGATGAAAAGTAAGTTAAACTAGGAAAAGTTATTTTTGCAACACTATTGTGTTAATGTTTAAAATAAAGAAAATGTTTATCACATTCCTTTCAAAGAGTTTTTATTTAACCCTAGTTTATAGCATTTGGACCTGACTGTGTTATTGCAGAAGCTGTGGCATACCCCTACCCAGCAGTAGTTCTACAATTAAGAATCTGTCTATACACCTGCCCAGCAGTAGTTCTAGTTAAGAATCTGTCCATACCCCTGCCCAGCAGTAGTTCTAGTTAAGAATCTGTCCATACCCCTGCCCAGCAGTAGTTCTACAGTTAAGAATCTGTCCATACCCCTGCCCAGCAGTAGTTCTATAGCTAAGAATCTGTTCATACCCTGCCCAGCAGTTCTAGTTAAGAATCTGTCCATACCCCTGCCCAGCAGTAGTTCTACAGTTAAGAATCTGTCTATACACCTGCCCAGCAGTGGTTCTATAGTTAAGAATCTGCCCATACCCTGCCTAGCAGTAGTTCTAGTTAAGAATCTGTCCATATCCCTGCCCAGCAGTAGTTCTACAGAACTGGTAAAAGAAAGGAGCCAGGGGCTCCTCCTAAGCCCATGTGACCCCTGAGGAACAGATCCTCAAACGACCTTAAGAGTAAAAATAAATTGGTTTATCTGGACCAACTGTGTGGCTTTAAACACCCAAAAGGAAAGTACAACCAAAGATTAAAGGGGCCAATATAATTTCTTAAGAGTCCATATGCATAGCTAAATGCTATATAACAAGCAACAATGTCAGATAGGAGATACCTTCTTTTGAGTTGTTGTTGGCCAGGGTGGTCAAAGGACTCCCAGATAGTAACCCAGCATAGAAGTGGGAAAATGAACAGCAGACCCCAATCCCCAATC